AGCCGTACAGGTACGCGGATCCGCCGACGGTGGATATCCAGCACGCCATCAAGGTCTTCTCTCAGATCCCCTGCGTCTTCGAGCTGAAGGGCACGAAGCGCTTCGAGCCTGGGGACCCGCTGATCACGCTCCTTGGCTGCATGCGCGAGGGCAAGCCCTTCCCACCGGAGGTCTGGTCCGCCTGGGAAAAGACGTTGGCCACGGACAACCGCGGCGTCCTGGACCCTCGGCACCAGCTCGGGAACTTTCGGCTCGGCTACGGCATGGGCATCTACTGGGAAACGCTTGCGAGGTGGATGAACACGCGTGCTCGTCGCGACGCTCGGCGTCTGGGCGTGCCCCTCGTTTTCCTGCAGGCCGTTGACGTGTGCGGCACGATTCAGGGCGATCCCGACGCGGGTCGGCGCCTCCTGAACGTCCCGAACATGCACAAGACGGGGGACATCCACGGCGTCTTGCCGGCCCACGTCGGCATGGGGGTGCGGTTCACGGCAGCGCAGGAAGAGCTGAAGAAGAAGTTGGGGCTCGTGCAGGAGCAACGGGCCACCATCGTGTCTTTCGAGTTCCACCACGAGGACGAGCAGCGGCACGAGGAGGGCTCGGCAGGCCAGCTCTTTCGCCCCCGCTTCCTACCGCAGGGAATCTGGCTGCAGGTGCACGGCTTCAAGGAGTCTCCGATCTACCAGGAGGTCGCCGAGGTGCTGCGACAGGGCGCCGAAGACGCCGACGACGACGGCCAGGCCGAGGCGCGGGCGCGGAGTTTGCTGATGTTCAGGCCCAGCGAAAAGGAGTTCACATGGCAGAGCTCGGGGCCGCACAACGCGCGCCGCTCGGGGTTCACCCTGACCCACGCGTCCTACCTGACCCCCGCGCTGTCGCAGGGCCAGACGCTGCGCAAGGGCGTCGCCATCGACTGCGCGAGAGACGAGGACGCTGGCCGCACGGGCATGTCTGACGAGCAGTGGTGGCTGCACCTCTACGTCATGCTCTCCCGCGCCACGTGCATGCGGAACGTGCTGATCCTGCGGCCGCCGCCGCGGGAGTTCCTGGGGCGAGGGCCGCCAGCGTCCTTGCGGAAGGCGCTCCTGGAGTTCGACAAGAGAGCGGTTTTGTCCAGGGCTGAGGCGAAGCAGCTCGCGGCAGAGCTGGGCTTCGTGCTGCCCGCCTGAGCGCGGCTGCCGCCCCGCTCGAAGCCCGCGGGGTTGTCCCAACGGCTTGGTCTTGCGCGCAAGCGGCTCGCGGGGTTGCTCCGACAGCCTGGCCCGCGGGGTTGCCCCGACGGCTGCGCGACGTGGCCATTAGAGAACGCGCCTGTGCTGGCCGAGGCGGCGACGGCGCCGAGGAAAACCGACATGCGCGCTCGTGCAATGGAAAGGCGAGGCGGTGGCGGGGCGCGAAAAAAAACAGGAGGGCGAGGTCGGGGGCAACGTGGGGAGCGGGGGGGGGGGCCGCGCCAGGGCGAGAAGAAATATACGCAGAAGAGACAGTCAGGACGCCTCACCAACCACGAGGACGACGGTGAGCGCTTTTTCCAGATTCGCCCAGAGGATTCTCATGCGGGGTCCTTCCGTCGGAGTAATTCTTCGACGAGGACCATCGAGGAGCGTCCTTGGCCATTTGCCGAACAAAACACGCACGAAACCGAAGCAAAAACACAGGGAATGGACGTCCGAGCGGTGGCGAGGAAGGACGGCCCGCGCGGGGGCACTTCCGCGTCGGGCTGCAGCCCCGTCCGAATGCCATCAAACATCGGGCAGGTTCGGGGCTGGTTTGGGCGACGCTTTGGGCCCCTTCACTCCTCCCTCCTCCCTCTTCCTTCCTCCCTCCTCCTCCTCCTCCTCCTCCTCCTCCTCCTCCTCCTCCTCCTCCTCCTCGTCCTCCTCCTCCTCCTCCTCTTCCTCTTCCTCCTCCTCCTCCTCCTCCTCCTCCTCCTCCTCCCACTTTTGGCCCAGCATCGTTCCAACTTGACCCCAGGGCGCGCCCAAAAACGCAGTCGGAATTCGCATATGGAGGAATATCCCAGACGAGCCCGACAGTTCGCTGTTAGATGTACCCGGGCGGCCCCCGACGAGGCAGAGCATATATAACAACAAGATGGTTGTTGCTGCATGTGTAACGTTTCGAGTTTGTAAGCAAAGTTGGGCGCAAGAGGTGCCCTTGGGGGCCCAAGGAGCTAAGAAGGGGCCCAAGAGGAGTGGAAATTTTGCAAAATGCGCCCCGAGAGCGAATTGGGAGCGGTCTGATCGTCGAGCTCGTCTTGGACGCCGTCTGCAAGGCGTATCGGGGCCCGGAAAGGGGCTTGGATGCAGCCGGGCGGCGGAATGTCGGAGGGCTCTGGGGCCTCCTGGAGGCCTCTTGGAGCTTGTGGGTGTTTTTTGGGTGCGTGCTGGCGATCTCGGGGGTCCTCTTAAGGCGGAGGGCTCGAAGTATCAGTTCGAGTTCTTCCTCTTGGGCCCCTCTTAAGGCTCTTTGGGGGCCCTCTTGTGCCGTCTTGGCCGCCCCTTGGGCCGTTCTGGAGCTCTCTTGGGCTGTCTTGGGGCCCTCTTAAGGACCTCGTGGGCCGTCCTAGAGCGATCTTGGGGCCTCTTGGGCCGCTATGGACGCTGTCGAAACTCAAAAAGTGAATATGCTAAACACGCACGTGTTCCTTAGGACTTGGGGCGAGTTTGGCATCGTGGGGCTCTCTTGGGGGTCCTCTTGGAACTCTCTGGAGGCGTCTTGGAGGCTTCTTGGGCCGTCTTGAGGCTAGATTGGTTGTTTTTGAGGCTTGCGTGCTCGCCGTGTTGGAGCCCAGCTTGAGCAAGCTTGGATGGACTCTTGGTCATCTTGGAGGGCTCCGGAGGCTCGGGGGAAGCGTTGAAGAGCTCCTCGAAGACCCACCTCCATCCTCCCCTGGGCCCCTGGGCCCCCCGGCCCCCCCACAGCCCCCTCCCCGCCCCCCTCGCCCCCCCCCTCTCCCCCTTTCTAATGTGATTTCAGACTCCAGGGGAGGTGGAACTCGGGAGGGGGACAGCCAATCACCTCACACGCCTCCGCGCCCCTAGCAAGCAGGGGTTGGCGGACTCCTCTCGTCAGTTGCTGCTCCTTCCTCCTTCTTCGTTCCCCCTGCTGATGATGCTGATTCTTTCTGTTTTATTCCCAACCCTCCTGCGTTGGGTACTCGTTTTGAACAGAGCACTGCGGTCGCGTCTTCTCTCCTCCTCCTTCCGTCCCCCTCCTCTCCTCCCTTCTCCCGATCTGTGAAACTGTCGCCATTTTCGAGGGCTGCTGGGGGGCCCAGTACAGTGACGTCTTACGGGGACTCAGATTAGACCTCGCCATCGCTGGGAGGCTGCGATCCGTGAAACTGTCGCCACTTTCGAGGGCTGCTGGGGGGGGCAGCGGAGTGACGTCTTACGGGGACTCAGATTAGACCTCGCCATCCCTGGGGGGCTGCGATCTGTGAAACTGTCGCCACTTTCGAGGGCTGCTGGGGGGCCCAGCACAGTCTGCACCCGCGGCGGACTCAAATGGGACCTCGCCATCCCTGGGGGGCTGCGATCTGTGAAACTGTCGCCACTTTCGAGGCCTGCTGGCGGGGCCCAGCACAGCCTGCACCCGCGGCGGACTCAAATGGAACCTCGCCATCCCTGGGGGGCTGCGATCTGTGAAACTGTCGCCACTTTCGAGGCTTGCCCAGCACAGTCTGCACCCGCGGCGGATTCAAATTAGACCTCGCCATCCCTGGGGGGCTGCGATCTGCGAAACTGTCGCCACTTTCGAGGGCTGCTGGGGGGCCCAGCACAGTCTGCACCCGCGGCGGATTCAAATGGGACCTCGCCATCCCTGGGGGGCTGCGATCTGCGAAACTGTCGCCACTTTCGAGGCCTGCTGGGGGGCCCAGCACAGTCTGCACCCGCGGCGGACTCAAATGGGACCTCGCCATCCCTGGGGGGCTGCGATCTGTGAAACTGTCGCCACTTTCGAGGCCTGCTGGGGGGCCCAGCACAGCCTGCACCCGCGGCGGACTCAAATGGAACCTCGCCATCCCTGGGGGGCTGCGATCTGTGAAACTGTCGCCACTTTCGAGGGCTGCTGGGGGGCCCAGCACAGTCTGCACCCGCGGCGGACTCAAATGGGACCTCGCCATCCCTGGGGGGCTGCGATCTGCGAAACTGTCGCCCACTTTCGAGGCCTGCTGGCGGGGCCCAGCACAGTCTGCACCCGGCGGACTCAAATGGCCATCCCTCTGCGATCTGCGAATGACAGGGCTGCTATCACCATCCCAGCACAGTCTGCACCCGCGGCGGACTCAAATTAGACCTCGCCATCCCTGGGGGTTGCGATCTGTGAAACTGTCGCCACTTTCGAGGGCTGCTGAGCACAGTGGCCCAGCACAGTCTGCACCCACGCACAGCGGATTCAAATGGGACCTCGCCATCCCTGGGGGGCTGCGATCTGCGAAACTGTCGCCACTTTCGAGGGCTGCTGGGGGGCCCAGCACAGTGGGTACCCACGGCGGATCTTTCGAGGCCTGAGGCCTGGGGGGGCCCAGCACAGTGGGTACCCACGGCGGACTCAAATGGGACCTCGCCATCCCGGGGGGGCTGCGATCTGTGAAACTGTCGCCACTTTCGAGGCCTGCTGGGGGGCCCAGCACAGCCTGCACCCGCGGCGGACTCGAATGGAACCTCGCCATCCCTGGGGGGCTGCGATCTGTGAAACTGTCGCCACTTTCGCGGCCTGCTGGGGGGCCCAGCACAGTGATGCCACACGCAGATTCAAATGGGACCTCGCCATCCCTGGGGGGTTGCGATCTGTGAAACTGTCGCCACTTTCGAGGCCTGCTGGCGGGGCCCAGCACAGTGACGCCTCCCAAGTAGCTTACACATCAAGTTGATTGTCCATACAAGTTTCGGCCAACTCCTCGTTTCCATTGATACAAATGGGTTGGGTACGTCACAGGGTAATTCCATATCCATGGACCTGCTCAGCTCTTGGTCCACTCAGCATGCCAGCAGGTGACCATCCCCAAGCGCATCCAGCGGCAATGGAAGAAGGACCGGGCAGAGGTCAGATCCCAGATCGAGCAGGAGTGTTTGGTGCACATCTCGCTCATCGACGAGAGCACCGGCGAGGTGGAAATCGTCGGGCGCGGGGACAGCGTCGATGCGGCGTGCGTGCGAGTGGCGACGTGGATCAGCGCGCAGGAGGACTCGCCACCCGGGGAGGGGGACGGGGTGAGGAGGCGGAGGACGAGGGCCAGCGAGCGGGAGCACGGGGGGATTGTCGGGCAGCGCGCGGGGGCGAGAGGGGGAGCGAAGGGACGAACGAAGGAAGGAGTGAGCAATTAGAACGGCGTGATGGGGCGAGTGGGAATGATCGCCTGGACAGAGAGGGCTCCTGAGGGAAACTCGTCCTGGAGGTCCGTCGCGGCTTTCTCTGGCCCACGGGGCCCTGGGCCCCGCCCGCCAGGAAGCGACGCGGGGAGGAAAGCCACTCCAAGGGAAGGCCATGGGGTCCCGGGCCCGTTGCCTCCAGGACTCGCTTCCCTGACGCCAGTCGTCGACTACGCGTAAGAGTGGCCCGTCGCTGGAGTGACCTCTGGTGCGGGCTCACGGGGGTCCCCCCCGATCGCTGAGCGCGATGCGGTAATGGCCGCCTGCGCGCTTGGATTTGGCCACCTTGCACCCCCTCGGTGCGCTCGCACCCAAGGCCACTCCTGCCTGGGGCCACTCTTGCGTGTAGCCGAAGTCGCTCCCGTGTGCCACTTGCTCCCCCTCCTCCTTCCTCTGACGAACGAGCAACACACACCCATACCCATAGGGGGGTCGTTGGGAGGAGGACTGGCTATGGGTGTGGGTGCGGGTTGTCGGACCCTGGGGGACGCTCCCGTTCGAGCGGGGACCCCCAAACGACAGCACGCACCCATGGCCCTCTCCGACCCCCTCTAGGGGTATGTGTGTGTGTGTTGCTGGTTCGTCATTCCTCCTCGTGCTCCCCCCTCTCCTCCCGCCGGTGCTCCTCCGCGCCTCCCCTCCCCCTCCCTGCCCGCGGGGAGGAGCAGAGAGCTGGCCCGAGGCAGAGCCTCCCGGGGCCCCCTTCGTGGCAAGGGGCGGCGGCAGGGCATGGAGGGGGCGCGCGAGGGCACCACTCCTTGCCCGCCCTCGAGGCCTCGTGCCCGCCCTCCCTCCTCCTCTCCTCCTCCCCGCCCTCCCCCTCCCCATCCCCCCTCCCCGCCTCCACCTCCTCCCACTCCCCCGCCTCGGCCCTCCGCCTCCGCCTCCTCCTCCTCCTCCCCCCTCCCTCCTCCTCGCCCTGGTCGTCCACGCTCGCGGAAGGCACGGCGACTCCACAGAGAGGTTGGTGGTTTCGGCTGCTCGAAGCACGCGAGATTGAAGAGGCGATGGACATCACGCGGTCGATCATCACGCCGTTTTCCCAGCGCTCGCAGAAGGGGGCACCTTCCCCTCGCGCGACCACTGCACCCGGCTGTTCCAGGTTTCGAGCCAGTCCTATTTGGGCTCTCTTCGCAGCGTGCGGCTGGCTGCTGATTTCTCGCGCGCGATGTGGGTGAGTATCGTTTAACCGATCCCCATCCCCAGCGGCGTGGCCTGGGCCCCACCGGCCGATTTACCCCCCTGGATGGGGACACAGGCCGTTCTCTTCCGGTATTGAGGGGCGTACCCCAACTGGGGGGGTGATTTGGTGGGGGTCTCGAAGGGGATGGGGATAGGGATGGGAGTCGGATAAGCGATGCTGAGTGGGGTGTCGAGGGCGATCTTCCCAAGCCGAACAGTTTACAATTCTTGATCGCCCGAAGAGAGGGCACGGCGCCTGCCGCCGGGCGTGGCCGCAGCGGGGCGCGTCCGACGAGCCCTGGTGCTAAAGTCGGGCCTGTCCCTCCACCACCACTATAAGCTGGACGGGGAGGGGGTCCTCCTCCTTCTCCTCCTCCTCCTCCTCCTCCTCCTCCTCCTCCTCCTCCTCCTCCTCCTCCCCCTCGTAGCCATTTTGGCTCAAGGCCAAAGTGGTTACTTCTGAACTGCCTAAGCGGGGTAGGTTCCCATCCAGTTTTCGTTCCCAGAGGACTTTCATGTGCACCACCCTCGCCCCGCGAGGACTCGGCTTCTTCCTGGCTTTTGCTGTGCTGGGCTGCTCCTGCAGCCGCTGGTTGCTGGAGGCGACATGGACTCCGGCACGGACCACGCCCGCCGCAGCGCCAGCAGGAGCGGCGGAGGTCTTGATTCTCCGCGAGACGACTCTCCCCGACCGCGTGACGAACACGCCCGCCGTCGGCAGCGGCGGCCTCCACAGGATTACGACCGCGATCGTCGACAGCCTCGAGCCTCTCAGGCCCAACCTCGAGATGAGCGCCGCGGAGGAGCTGGCCGTCTTGGTGGACATGCCCCTCGCCCTGGTGGCGCCACCGCACCTCTACCAGCACAAGAACATCACAACCTCGTTGCAGCCCATGACGCCGCTGCTACTTTCCCCTCCCAGGAACCCGAAGATCCTCTGGCCCGGGCAGATCCATGGCGTGCGCGCCCCGCTGCGGCACCTCTTGATCGCCAGCTGCCCCAGCTGCTGAAGGCCTCGAGGCGCTCACCAAGTCCCTCCATGACCAGTTCACGGCCCACGTCGACACCACGCTGGCCGCGTTCAAGGCCGACACCGCACGTACCGTCGCCAAGGCCATCCACGACTCGCAGACCATCCTGCCGAGGCGCATCGATGGCACCGATGGCGAGATCGCGTCCCTCAAGCAGCGCATCACTGCCTCCGAGCGCGCCCAGGAGGAGACAAAGCGGGCGGTCGCTGACCTCCAGAAGGCTCTCTCCATTGCTGAGGCGCAAATCCCTATCACCGACGTCGCTGCTGAGGCGGAGTTTGACCGTGCGGAGTTTGACCGTGCTCCTGACCCTGCGGTCTTCTCCGTGGGTTGCTCTGAGCTCGTGGCCCCTCGACAGGTACACGAAGGACTCGCCGCCTGGTTCTCTGAATCTGGAGTGGACTGGGCCAACGCTTCGTTGGTTGGTGACGTACCCGCCAAGCGGTTCACTCTTCGTCTACTCGGAGGACCTGCTGTCGCCGCTCCTCGTGCCGCTGCGCTTGTTCGTGGCCTGCGGCTCCAAGGCGGCGCATGGCGGCAGTTCCAGGTCAACGCCGTCACGGGCCAGGCTCTCCAGCTCTACGTCAGCCCTGACCGCAGTCCGCGCCAGATCAGCAGGGAGATCCAGACCCGGCGCATTCACCGACTCCTCGAGGAAGCCCTCCCTGCTGCCAACCTGCGTCCCTACAAGCAAAAGGGTCGGGTCGCCAGCGATGGTGTTCCTCTTGTTCGCCTGGGCGTCGGAACCACCGCGAACGCCGACACCGAGGTTGTCTGGAATCTCACCCTTGCCCGCGACCTTCGCCTCGACACGGCTGCCATCGACAGGGCGTTTCACGACTTCTTCTCGGAGGACCGTGGCATCTTGCGGGGGTAACATCCACAAGTCACACGGCGCGTTGGCTCTCCGCCTGGTCACCTGGAACTCTCGTGGCCTCCTAGCTGTCAACATCAAGCGGAGGAAGGCCAAGTTTGCTGTCCTGTTGCCGCTGATGCGCCAGCGTTACCTCATCCTACTTCAGGAAGTCCATGGCGATCTCTCGCGCCTTCAGTGCGCCATCCATGCTACGCCCGTCAAGTGCGACGTTCTACACAACGACAGTGGTGACCCCAGCGTGGGAGGTACGGCGTTCCTGGCCCCACGGAACCCCGATGTGGACATCTTTGGCCTTGCCTCTGCGCGTGGTGCTCCAACGCCGACTGGTTCATCTGGCAGTGCATCCGCGCATCCACGTCTTCCACCACTTCCTCCGACTCGCCCACGACGGTCAATTTGGGTGTACCGGCCTATCCTGGCTTTGTGGCGTCTTCCACCTCTCCGGGGTCTTCCCACGGCCCTCCCTGGCCTGTCGGAATTGCGACGCCACATCCACAATCCACGCAGACCACGGTATTCCATCGCGTCCTGGTCCCAGGTCGCGTCCAGGCCCTTGAGTATTTCCTGGGACCTCACTGCACGGCCATCGTCTTGAACATCCACAACTTTGACTTCCCGGTGACGGATCGTAGCGTGACCTTTGGCTACTGGCAGGCGCCCCAGCAATGGGCGTCACAATCACCACTCCAGCGGATATTCTTTGCGCTTGGTGACTACAACACCCATGATGAACCAGCCGTTCAATTGCACCGTCCTGGCCCCCTGCAGTTTCCGTCGCCTGGCGGTAATCAGCACCAGCAGTCCTCCTGTCGGCGGCTCTTTGGCTCGACGACTGAAATCACCTCCGGTGAGCCGACGCGCTTCGACCCCCACACGGCGACGACGACACGCGTCGACTGCGTCTTCTGCAGTTTGCCTGCGCATGCCGTTCCCAACCTCCAGCTTCGCGTTCACGTCCAGCACGATGCGGCTACTTTGAGCGACAGGCGCTTGAGCGACAATGCGGCCCTTGCCCTCCACGTCCACAAGGGCGCCATCAAGCAAGAGCACACGCAGCCCGTTCCTGACTTCATCTTCACGCTGCCGATGTACCAGAAGTTTTTCGACCTCCTTGTCGCCCACTCTGACGACGTCTCTACCTCTCCGACGCTGGCTTGGCGCTCTCTCAAGTCCAACATGGTGGAAGCTGCTCGCCTCACTCGCAACCGCCTTCTACAGCTACCAGGTGGTGTCCGAGGCCAGCCCCCTGTCGAAGCGCACCTGCTCGTCTTCCCGTCGGTCTCCCGTGCGGTTTGGCGCCGGGACAAAACTCTAACCGCCGCCCTCATTGCTCTCGACCCGCGCGCCCAGCACCTGATCAAGATCGAGAACGATGTGGTCAAGCTCTGTGACGAGGTGGAATTCGCCGAGCTCTCCCAAAAGACACATTACGACTACTACGTCACCCAGAAGAGGAAGGCATCGGCTGCTGCCCAACGCGCGGCTCAGGGAGGTCGAACCATGGAAGCCGCCTACCAGCAGAGGGCTGCGCGCACCGCGCAAAGGAGAGCTCGCGCCTGGGCTCCATTTCCCGGATTATCCAGCTTGTCGGCATCCGCATCTCTGATGCGACGGACATTGCGAAGTCTCCACAGGCCATGGCCCAGGCTCTACAATCTCACTGGTTGCCAGTCTTCGCTCATAAGACTGTGGACCGCGCCGCGATGGTCTCCTACGCGCGGCGG